ATCCCGCGGTGTGAGCCAGTGAGCAGGGCAGAGCACCCTTCACTTAGGGTCTTTTGCCACTTGCGTTCAGTGGTTTAGAAACCTAAAGAAATAATAGTTTATTCTTGGTAGGAACTGTGCAGGTGTAGTATTCTTATTTTTGCCATACGTGTAAAATTGTTAGTAATAAAAAGGTTGAAAAGTATATTTATTGTCATCGTATTTATAAACTGCCTCATACCACAGCCCACCATAGATTAGAAGCCTCACATTCAGTGTATGTCAGAGGAAAAAGTGTCTACAGGAAATTCTTTAATGATGTCAATCTGATAAGTAAAATATTTTTTTTTAAATAATAAATTTTCAGGGAACTGCTCATTTGGGCACACGTAACAGAGGTGAGCTTGGTGCTTATTCTAATAGGAATTAATGTACAATTTCATTAGCTTTTGATGATAGGTAACTGTCGTCTTCATCTCAAATCTTTGATGTAAATAATTTCTAGAACTTCCTTATTTCATTTGGAAGCTGAATTGTTTTTAATTACATTCTTTAAACTATTTTAATTAATTCTGCTTTACTTAATGAGGATGACATAACCAGGAAACCCTTTTAAACTGTACTTCTCACATAATTTTGACTTCAGGAAACTTAGGTGCCATTTAATTGAGGTACTAAACGGGCTAAATAGAATTTTGAAAAAGCAAAATTTCTAAAACTGATCAGCATCCCTGAGAAGAGCTGCTCTTTGAAATTTATGAGACCCTAATGTATGTATTATATCCATTCTTGTAAGAAGGTTATTCAAAACAGTCTCTGAAACAGTGTTATGAAATACGGATTTTCCTTTATGTTAACGTAGCCTTCCTGTCCTGTAGTGGGAGTTCTGAGCTATTTTGTTTTGAACACCAATGTGTATGGAGTCATGGATAGATGTGAAAACACTTTTTATTATATCTTCCACATCACATGTGCCAAAGAGAACAGAAGTTAGTTAATATTTTATGGGTGCCTTGTAACCGTGTGGAAAGCCCAGCTTCTAACTGACTGGGGATAGGATTGTTCTTATCCACATTGATAATTACATCAGTCAGTGGGTGATCCTTCTGTGAGCTGTGAGGTAAGTGCAGAAAAGCCCGGGGGCCTACATGACCGCACTTTTCGTTACCGTACCTGACGCCCATGCTCACAGGTGTTCACACTTCCCCAGGTTGCTTTACTTCTAGAAAACCCAGTAAGCAAAAATCAGGGCGCCTGGGTGCCTCAGATGGTTGGGCGTCTGCCTTCGGCTCAGGTCATGGTCCCAGGGTCCTGGGATCGAGTCCCTCATCGGGCTCCCTGCTCAGTGGGGAGCCTGCTTCTCCCTCTGCTTCTCTCTCTCTGTCTCTCATGAATAAATAAATAAAATCTTTAAAAAAAAATCATATGTGCGTATTGTGTGTGCATTTTTATATTAAGTGATACACATACACAATGTTTAGGGTTTTCAGAGTCATGAAGATGTGTAACATTGTGAATTTATGTGTCACTTTTAATGAAAATTCACCGTTTTTGAAATAATGTTAACGTCTCGCTGCCTTTCGTGATGTTACTTCACTGTATTTGGCAGACCCAAGACATCTCATAAAATTGACCTGTGCGTGCTCCTCTCTTAACTGGCTTCCTTACACACCAGGGGTGAAGCACTTCCTCATGCTCAAGCACACGTGAGTGCCTGGCCTACATGGACTGGCTGTCCCCAGGAGTGAGCCCTGGCCATCTGGAGGGACGTGAGCACCTCCAGGCAGCTCACCGGGCAGAAGCCCAGCTAAAGAGAACGTGCCTCCCTGCTCACTGACCTTTCTGTTGCTCCACACGATGCAAGTGGTGCTAAGGGTTAAATGCATCTGTTTCTGTTCAATGAAAAATACTTAATTTTTCAAAATTGGGTGTTTTTTTTAAAAAACTGGTAGGCACGCTCATTTGGGACTAGTTGATGTCTTTCTCAGGCAGTGTTCTAGAGTATAATTACAAAGGTAGTGACTCTGTTTTCCAGTTGCACGCCTGTCTCTTTCAGAACAGGCAGAAGTTCTATTTGTACCAAACAATGCATCTGAACTGAAAGGCAGAGGCCACACTTTCTTCAGGTAGTTAGAGCCCTTCACGTCATCGCACTCTGCCGGAGGGACCTGGGAGGGACACTTGTCCTCAGTGGGGAAGGACATTCCTAGCTGCTGGAATTACAGAGCAGAGCATTCAAACTGCCGAGGGGAGCCCAGCTATGAGAGCTCGGCCCGTGGAGGTCCACGTACGGGATGGGGAGTCCTGGGCCTGTTGATGAGCTTTCCTCTGTGACCTGGTCTTTGTTGCAGGAACCCTCACCCAGAACGAGATGGTGTTTAAGAGGCTGCACCTGGGGACTGTGTCTTATGGAGCAGACACGATGGACGAGATCCAGAGCCACCTCAGGAATCCATACTCACAGGTAAGCTCATTGGCATCCGCACGGGAGCTGCCTGCAAAAGTGCCTGGCTCTGTCGAACCAGCCTGAACCCACTGTATCCGCTGATCTGGAAATCGGCAAACATCTTTGAATGTCCTAAAACACTCAGTTCTAATTTATAAATCAAGAAGCAGTTTTTGAACCAATTTTATTTTATTTTTTTTATTTTTTGTAAAGATTTTATTTATTTACTTATTTATTTATTTATTTGATAGAGATAGAGGGAGAGCACAAGCAGGGGGAGGGAGAAGCAGGCTCCCCGCTGAGGAAGGAGCCCGATGTAGGGCTCGCTCCCAGGACCCTGGGATCATGACCTGAGCCGAAGGCAGACGCTTAACCGACTGAGCCACTGAACCAATTTTGAATAAGCATTTCTATATTGTTAAATAATAGAAAGGATATAATGACCTTAAACCATTTATTCATATTAAATAATTTTCTTAGTGAAATATTCCAAAAGATTACTCAGGATAGGTAGTATTTTTAAGACTATTAAGTAGAAGACTGCATCACAGGTGTTTCTTACCAGTTCCTCTGGGTTTCTTCATAATTAGTAAGACTTTCTCATCTTTTTTGCCTTTTCAATAAACAGAAGTAGACACGGTATCGTGAGCCCTATGTCCCTGTCATTCTGCCTCCGCAGCTGTCCGTGCACCGCAGACCTGGTTCCCTCCGTAGCCCTGCTCCTCCTTCACCATATCACTGTGAAGTGAAACTCAAGTGTCATGTTACTTCATCTGCAAATCCATCGTCTGTGTCTGGATTAGATAAGGACTCCTTGGGTGGAGGCAGGGGGCGTATATCCTAAGTCTTGGCCTTTCCCTGGAGCTTCAGGAGCTCTCGGAAGTTGCAGGAACAGGAAATACACAGCCTAGTAGCCACAGTGTTTGCCAGAGACTTGGTAGGCCGTGCGCTCTGCAAGTGCGTCTGTGGCCCGGGAAGGTCCTGACACGCCAGATCCTGACATGGGGCCCACAGGGCCACGTGTTCCCACAGATGACAGGGTGTGGGGCAGGCAGACACAGGCCACTCTGCAAAGGTCATTTTAGGCCGCAGAGGTCCCCTAGCCTGTTCTCAGGTAGCGTTCGTGTTGCACTCATTTGAATTCACTGATTCTGGGTAACCAAACCTTGCAAGCCCAGGGTGTCTAAGATGCTGCACACACAAGGCTGTGGTTTGAACCCAGAGCCAGCCATCACTTCCCTAGGCTGCTTTTCTGCCTCTCTGCTGGCCTATTGTGAGGTTCGGGCACCCCCGTTGTAACAGGCCAGCATATATCAGGTGCAAACGTGCCATCACCCGCCCCCCAGGGAAGCGGGGCCTCGCATGTACACAGACCACTGCCGCCTCGAGGCTCCCACGGGCCGTCTGGCAGCGGCGCCCCCAGAGGCTGTAGGCCCTGTGTATTGATGGTCATACTTCTGACTTGACTTCCACAGACGGGGCTGAGCCACACACGCGCTGAGCAGTTTCTGCTCTGACCGAATTCAGGTGTACTGTCTGCCTTACATTCAGTTTGTGAAAACCTTCTCTTTCTTCTGTAATGTTTACCAGAACGGCGTATAATTTACTTTTCAAGACGCTGTCAAAAGAAAAGTATCTAATGCCTATGTGTTTATTGTATGTAATGATCACTTACACAAGCACACATACACTTAAAACCAAGCCCTTTCTTCAGTTGGATGTCACTCAGTGCAATACAGAGCATTTTGTAACCTAGAACATTTATTAACAGAAGGAAAATCTAAAAAGGAGAAGGAATAGGTCTTCCTTTCTCCTGGTAATCTAGGTCTAGGTCGAAACAGTACCAGGTAAAATCTGTTTTTAAAAAATAAATTTACATTATGCATGAATATGATTTTAATAGCTCCAAATAAGCTGTTTTCTAGAAACTTTAGAAACAGAAAGGATGAGTCAGTGTATAAAAATAGCAGATATTTAATACTTATTTCCACGGAGGAGGTCTTTTAAAAATCTTTTTTTCTAAGCTATCTGTTGGTTGGCTGGTTAGATAGTACTTTTTTTTTTTTTCATGTGTCAGTAGTTTTAATGTTGTGTACATCAAATTACAGTAAAAAGATGACTATAAACAACATGCAGCCCCTCTATTTTCATGAACAGCACAGCAGATTACAGTAAACCAAGTTTATATTCCACCATCAAGTGTGGTTCTCCCATTAGTTCACTTTGTGACGGGTCATTAAGAATATCTTCAAATCCAATAGTCTCATCATTACCCGTCAAAATATCCAGTGAAAGGTTTGAGCTTGGAAGAAATGGAAGACGCTGCTGCACTGCCTTGAACTCCATTTGTAATTTTAGTGGAGCAAACAGGCCCTGGATGTTTCTTAGTGTGGAAAAATTCATTTTATCTTGGTTGAGCTGGAAATTTTTTTCTGATAATTCAAGAGGATGACTGGGCAAAAGTTCATTTTTCACACACGGAAGGCCTTTTCGAAGAAGATCATGACTTTCAAAAGGTCCACTTGCTGAAAGTTCAGTAACAGGAATACTGTCCTTTAACTGAGATCCAAGTCCTCTGGCATTCATCTTCACTTGCTCTGTGAACAGCCTCTCAGCCCCGTTACCGTCAGCCGGCCCCGCCGCTCTAGATAGTACTCTTTTGTAAAATTGATTTTATTCCTGAGATTCTGTCTTTTGATTAAGATGATAATAGTCTACCAGGTCCACTGCAGTGTAACATGAATCTTTCATAATCTGATTATATTTCCCCTCCGGAAGCATTTGGTGATGGAGGGCATAATCTTTAATGGCATTTGTGTGAAATTAAATTATACAGCCATCGATAAACAGAGTCCTAAGGGGAGTCAGCCATGTTGCGTGCCGCTCTCCCTTTGCCGTGCAAGCAGCAGGCGGGTGGGAGGCGAGCGCAGGGGAGAGGCAGTGCCAGCTGCTGAGCTGCACCAGCAAACCCTTCATTAGACAGCACTGTGACTTCACGGGCAGAGTAGTCACGGCTCGGTGGCTCTGCATGCCCCGTCCAAAAGCGAGAGCCTGGCTTTCTCAGGAGGGCCATCACAAGTGGCCATGAAGGTAACCGAGGAGCCTCTGTGGTCCTGCTCCACCTCCCCCGGGAGCGGGGGGGAATGGCCACTCCACTGGCGGAGGCGAGCGCCCTCGAATGCAGCCTGGTGCGGGGGGGAGCCAAATGGAGGGAGCAGGGAGTCACATCCGGAGCGCAAGAGTCTGAAATAGGAGGTGGGGATCAGTTTTCGTCAGATGCCGGGGTTACTGTCATGCACAAAACTAGCTCTAATACAGAGGCTGTGACAGGCTGGATTCCTTTTTTGTATTAAAGGAAGATTCGTAAGTATTTTTTCCTGCTTTTAGCTTTAGTCCACTTCAGGTGCAGCACTTTTTAACGAAACATGAAAGCAGTTAGGAGTATATAGCTCTGGTTTGCTCTTTAACTCACCCCATCTTTACAAGGAGAACAAACATGACTTATTACGGACTTAGCAAGCCAATGCCATGGATCAAGTGAATGTAGAACAGGAAAACCCTCCGACTCTAAGTACTGCAACAGTTTGGTAGCCGTGCCGACCAGGAGACATGAGTGCTGACAGCGCTAGCACGGACACGTCACGTGAGCGAGCCCGTTCCATAAGAGCTGCTTGTCTCATCCCTCACTGATGCACTCATAAAAATCACACGTGCTGGTAACTCCAGTATCAACTACGTTGTCTCTTTAATTTTGTGACGTTCGTATTTTATCAGATGCAGTCTCAAGCTAGCGGGAATGCTACCAGTTCAACACCACCAAGAAAGGCCCAGTCCTCAGCTCCCAAAGTGAGAAAAAGTGTTAGCAGTCAAGTCCACGAAGCTGTGAAGGCCACTGCGCTGTGCCACAACGTGACCCCCGTGTATGAGCCTCGAGCCGGCGTGATCGCGGAGGCCGAGTACGCAGAGGCGGACCAGGACTTCAGCGACGGGAACCGCACCTACCAGGCCGCCAGCCCTGACGAGGTCAGTCGGGGCCTCTTAGAAGGTCTCAGATACAAACCTGCCTCAGAGGCACAAGAATTCGTTCTTCCAGGGGCATGAATGCAAGGGGAGCTTTATTATCGTGTCTAATGGTGCCTTAGCTCCAGGCCTGAAGGCCACATGGCTCTCTCGGATTCGTGCATTTGGTCCTGGTGTGTCCACATACCCCAGAAAGCCTAAGAGTGAGTTACTGGAAAACACATGAGAAAAATCAGAGTTTTACTGATTTGGAAACTGATCTGTGACCGAGTCAGATCTTAATAAAGCTGCTGGCGCCTGGACTGTTCCTCCCTCATCATCCCATCTTCTTACTTCCACATGAATTGTCAGGCTTACGTGTTAAATTTCCAGGTTTGTTCGTTTGTTTTGCCAGAATTTAGCTATAGCATATCTATTTCAAAAGAGAATTGGGCTATAAATCATTTCAAAAATCTACAGAAGACAGAAACAGTAAAATCTTCAATGTGGCAAATTAGTCATTTCTGACCTTACATCATTTTTTTACTTTTATTTTTCTTTTTAAAGATTTTATTTATTTGTTTTTGTCAGAGAGAGACAGAGCACAAGCAGGGGGAGCAGCAGAGAGGAGAAGCAGACTCCCTGCTGAGCAGAGAGCTCGATCCCAGGACCCGGGGATCATGACCTGAGCCAAAGTCAGACACTTAACCGACTGAGCCACCCAGGCGCCCCCATTTTTTTTATTTTTAGATTGATAAAAGTCATTGTTAAATTAATTTGCCCAATTCCTGTTCAGCCAGTATATTTTAAATAACGTTTTCTTATGCCCTCCCTTGTAGTCAAGGTTCTTGAGATGATTCTGTAATCAAACCAACCATGGAAGCAATATAAGCAAACAACCTTCTTTTTTTTTTTTTAAATACTGTATGAAATTGGATCATGTAATAACTCCCAAAAAGTACCATCCATCACAGTTTAAAAAAGAAAAATCTGATCTAATGTTTTAAAGAGAGGAGCCCGGTGATTCTCGTAAACGAGTATTTCAGAAGAGCGAGGTCCTTCTGTAATGAC